GTTTTGCGCAAGTTCTAACTCAAAAATTAATTCCTGCCAAACTAGAAGAGGAAAAATTTTGCTCGTTGCGGTGTTTTGTGCAGGATAATCTGCTTCATAGGCAAATATATTTTGAATTTTGCGCCATTTCCAGGATTTTAGTTGTTAATTTTTTAATTTCAATCGTTTTCTCACCGCGTTTTGCGCAGGTTCTAACTCAAAAATTAATTCCTGCGAAACGAGAAGAGGAAAAATTTTGCTCGTTGCTGTGTCTTGTGCAGGATGATCTGCTTTATTTGTAAATATATTTTGAATTTTGCGCCATTACCAGGATTTTAGTTGTTAATTTTTAAATTTTAATCGTTTTCTCACCGCGTTTTGCGCAAGTTCTAACTCAAAAATTAATTCCTGCCAAACGAGATGAGGAAAAATTTTGCTCGTTGCCGTGTTTTGTGCGGGATAATCTGTTTGATAGGCAAAGATATTTTTAATTTTGTGCCATTTCCAGGATTTTAGTTGTTAATTTTTAAATTTCAATCGTTTTCTCACCGCGTTTTGCGCAAGTTCTAACTCAAAACTCAATTCCTCCCAAACTAGGAAAGGATAAGTTTTGCTCGTTGCTGTGTTTTGTGCAGGATAATCTAGTTAATTTTTGAATTTCAATCGTTTTCTCACCGCGTTTTGCGCAGGTTTTAACTTAAAAATTAATTCCTGGCACACTAGAAGTGGAAAAATTTTGCTGGTTGCTGTGTTTTGTGCAGGATAATCTGCTTTATAGGCAAAAATATTTTGAATTTTGTGTCATTACCAGGATTTTAGTTGTTAATTTTTGAATTTCAATCGTTTTCTCACCGCGTTTTGCGCAGGTTCTAACTGAAAAATTAATTCCTGCCAAACTAGAAGGGAAAAAATTTTGCTCGTTGCGGTGTTTTGTGCAGGATAATTTGCTTCATAGGCAAATATATTTTGAATTTTGTGCCATTACCAGGATTTTAGTTGTTAATTTTTAAATTTCAATCGTTTTCTCCCCGCGATTTGCGCAGGTTCTAACTCAAAAATTAATTCCTGCCAAACTAGTAGGGGAAAAGTTTTGCTCGTTGCTGTGTTTTRTGCAGGATAATCTGCTTTATAAGCAAACATATTTTGAATTTTGTGCCATTAGCAGRATTTTAGTTGTTAATTTTTAAATTTCAACCGTTTTCTCACCGCGTTTTGCGCARGTTCTAACTCAAAAATTAATTCCTGCCAAACTGGAAGAGGAAAAATTTKTCTCGTTGCTGTGTTTTGTGCAGGATAATCTGCTTTATAGGCAAATATATTTTGAATTTTGCGCCCTTTTCAGGATTTTAGTTGTTAATTTTTAAGTTTCAATCGTTTTCTCACCGCGTTTTGCGCAGGTTCTAACTCAAAACTCAATTCCTGCCAAACTAGAAAGGGAAAAGTTTTGCTCGTTGCTGTGTTTTGTGCAGGATAATCTGCTTTATAGGCAAAGATATTTTGAATTTTGTGCCATTTCCAGGATTTTAGTTGTTAAYTTTTAAATTTMAATCGTTTTCTCACCGYGTTTTGCGCARGTTCTAACTCAAAAATTAATTCCTGCCAAACTARAAGAGGMAAMATTTTGMTMSKTGCTGTGTYTTGTGCAGGATRATCTGCTTTATTTKCAARTAYATTTTGAATTTTGCGCCATTACCAGRATTTTAGTTGTTAATTTTTAAATTTCAACCGTTTTCTCACCGYGTTTTGSGCAGGTTTTAACTAAAAAATTAATTCCTGTAGAACTAGAAGAGGAAGAATGTTGGTCGTTGGTGTGTTTTGTGCAAGAAAATCTGCTTTATAGTGAAACAGATTTTTTATTTTGCGTCATTGCCAGGATTTTAGTTGCTAATTTTTAAATTTAGATCGTTTCCTTACCGCGATTTGCGCAAATTCTTACTCAAAAATTAATTCCTGCMGAACTAGTAGAGRAAACATGTTGGTAGTTGCTGTGYTTCGTGCAGGAAAATYYTAAATTTGCGCCATCATCAGAAGTTTTTTTGATAAATTGTCGTATTTWAATCAGTTTWTTACYGCGCTTTACGCMGAWTTTAACTCAAMAATTAACGCCTGTYGAACCGGTTCGGACAAGTTTTCATCGCTGCTKTGCTTAATGCGGAAAAGTMTGCTTYGTATATGTGAAGCCAGTTTTRAATKTGCGCCATTATCAGGGTTTTTTTTGCTAATKTTCGARTTTCATYCAWTKTTCTTGTCGGGTTTTWMGCAACTTTAAGGGAAAAGTTCTGGTTGTTGCTGTGTTTTATGCAGAAACATTTCCTTTATAGGTCAGAAGAGTTTTGATTTTGCACCATCATCAGGATGGTTTTTGTGGCTGTGTTGTCCACAGCTAATAATTCCTAATTCGCAACGTTTCAGCTACAGCGTGACGGTGTTCATCATTCCGCTGTTTGTGCTCGTGTACACCTACACTTGCATTTGCCGGGAAATCTGGCGATGTTCAGACTCGAGTCTCCGGCCACGAAACATGAGCAAACAGAGCACGAAAAGAGATCGAGTGCCACTCATTTCCAGAGCCAAAATCAACACGGTGAAACAAACAATCGCCGTTATTGTATTGTATTTAGCCTGTTCAGCTCCATTTATTGTCGCCCAGCTATGGGCCACTTTCGATCCGAAAAGTGCTTTTCTTGAAGGTAAGTAGCTGGAATTTACACCCTAATGTCTTTTCTGTATTTCGTCTATATTGTATTGAATGAAAGATTAAATACGTTTACACTCTCTATCTATTGCTATTGTGTTAAATATCTAATAAGCCAATTCAGCTAAAATTCAAATTATTTGTTGATATGAGCTGCTACGTCACAATCGGGATAGGCAACCGACGATACGGATTGGGCGTTTTTGGCGGAAACTATCTGATTTGAATTTAAATTCGCTTTAAAATTATTATGTAGACTTTTTTTGCAAAAACAATTATATCAGTGCAACGTTTGCCATAACTGCTTTCTATATATCAACATTGAAAAAAAGGTGAAAACACCCAATTTATAATATAAGAAGGCAAACCAGAATGAATGAAGAACTTTGAATGAAGCCACAAGAAAAGTTAAGGGTGGCAATTTCAACAGTGCTAATGAAATATCGGACCGTCTTCTGTTTAATATGCATAGAAGCGATTTGCTAGGGTCGCTTTGCACTTGATTTTGCGAATGTTTCTCAACATTCCCTTGTTCCAGGATCCACCTTCACCATTCTAACTCTTCTCTACAGCCTAAACAGCTGTGTAAACCCGTGGATTTACCTGGTCTTCAACAGGGAGCTGCCCAGGCTGCTGATCAGACACTTTCTAGCGTCGAACAAAAGCTATCGCGGAGCTCCGGATGGTGAGTTACCAAGTAGCTTGATCGGTTTGCGTGGAGGGCGAAGAGCTTTTAGTGCTACACCCCAGGTTTATTTTAGGGGTTTTGTTTGTGTTCTACTACGATCGAGGGCGAGAAAATCCGAGACGTAAAGCGAGACGCATTTAAAATATGGAAAGCGCAAACAGATTTCTCTGTAGAGCTGGTAAGAAGGAACGTATCGCTTTCTGGCTGTCGCAAAAGTAGATCGCAAGAAATAGCAGCTTTACTAAACCCCAATGTTAAACGGGCGCTTCAAACATTTCGTTTTTGGGGTGGTTGCAACCCTTGCGGCTTTCAGTCATTAAACACCCTGCTGAAAATTTACTGCGCGCTTTGCAAGCGATTTTATTCAGCTTCAAGAGGTTTTCAATCGCAACAAAGGTTGGAACTTTATCAACTTTCAGGATATTTTGCCTATTATAATGCTGGGGATAATGGCAGAAATGATGGGATTGTTTTTTTATAAAAACAACAATAATAGCAGATGTTAATTACATTAAATTACTGTTATCAGGGACCGATATTGGTAGGATAGAGTTTGTTCTTGAAGGTGTCACATACGGAATAACAGCTGTATACAAGCCTCCACCCATTTCGGAAATTCTTTATATTGACGATTTGAATACTTATTTTGCCGGAAGAACATCTAAAAGCATCGAAATTTATATGGGTGATTAACATCAACATCAATTATAAAAATAATCATTTGGTAAATTAATACTTATCCTTAATGGGGCAGAACGGATTTTTATCATATATAAACCTTCCCACTCGAGTTACAAAAAATCATTTATTTGTGAAACAAAAACTAAGAAGTCCAGGCCTTAAACTTGAGTCATGTCGGCTGAACAGCGATTTGACTGATCACTACCCAATTTTTCTAAATATAACTTATGAAAGAGATTTTTCTAGGGAAAAATCAATCTGCCAGATCGTGGGGTCTACATAGATTATGAGATGTTTAAAGAAAAATTATCTATGGTAAACTGGAACGAAATCGTTAGTTGTTTCGACTCCAATGAAGCGACTAATAAATGTATAAACGTATTTGTTGATGTAAAAAAATCAGCTACAATAGTACGTAAAATTAAGTTTAAAAATAGCAAAAAAAATAAAGATTGGATCAGTGATGGGTTGATCAATTCCATTAAACATAGAGATAAGTTAAAGAGAGCACTTTTAAGAAATTAGACTTCTGCGTTAGAAGCTAAGTACAAACACTACAGAAACTTTTTAAATAAACTCTTAAAACAACAAAAATATCACTATTATGAAAATCAAATAGAAAACAACAAAAACAACCTGAAAAAAATATATAAAATAATTAATGATGCTACCAATCTTAACCATAACAAAAAAGAAACAAATTTCTCCATAAATGACACTAATAACACCCCTTTTGACGACAACCTAAGAATGGCTAACTTCTGCAATGAATACTTTGTAAATGTTGGAATTTAAATGGCAAAAAAGTTACAACCAAAAAGCAATAATATTTTAGGAATAATTTACAGAAAGGACAAACTATATCCTACTAGAGAGTTGCATAACAAAGAAATTAGCGACATATCATTGCTATACATACATTCAGCATGCTCCTTTGCCCATAAGAACAAAAATACTCAAACATTTGTAAAACATAACCACAACACAAGGCAAATATCTAGCAACTTTCTTGCTCTACCTGAAAAAAATAATCGAACAATTCATCTTAAGTTTCTTAATTATGTAGCCCCAAAATTGCATAATTTATTGCCAAGTATAATAAGATCAATAAATAACTTCAATTTGTTTAATAAAAAACCCAGAGAATATATTACTATACACAGGAACACATTTGTTCAGATACTTTCTCAAAAGTTGAGTTCTCGGGAAAATGTTTTAAGTTGCTAGTTTTAGGTAAGAATATACATGTATGTACCTAAAACTTCTATGTGGATTTCTGTTAAACCTGAACAGAAAATAAAAATATGATTACTGATTTAAAAAAAATTGAAACCTCACAGGTACAAGGTATCTAAGTACTCAACAAATAATTTTTACATTATATGAATTGTAAATTAACAAATAATTTTCTGTTTACATACATATTTTTAATAAATTTTGAATTTGAATTCTAGATGGGGGTGCGGGCCAAAGGAATAATCGCCAAATTTGCATTTTTATCCGAAAATTGCTGTAATCCCTGTGAAACAACAGCTTTGCGTTAGCAAATTTGCAACTTCAACAAGCAATTTAAGGAACGATTGTTCGTGTTTCGGACCAAGTTGTGCTGGCGCCAGCCCCGAAATTGTTGAAAAAAGGTGCTCAAGACTCCTTAAAGGGCTTGTGAATGCCACCGTTTTGAAGCTAAAGGAACTCGCAATGCCATGAAGAGGAGAAGAACCCGAAACAACAGAGCAATTGCCTCATTAATCCTTGTAGAACTTGTGTTGTGTTCAAGAAAAATGTGTACGATTCGCCAACTGTTTGCATCCCTTAATCGAAATTGCCTAAACGTGTTTAATGACTGAAGCTATCAAAAAACTTGAAAAAATTTGCACAATTTAATTTATTTTCCTCGCATTGCTTGATATTTGGTCTCTCACCGATTAGAACAGATTTTTGCTGCCGTTTTATTATCCATAGAAAACCGGCGAACGCAGCAGTCCCGAGTAGGCCTGGGTAACGCTGTGTTGAGTTGTTGGCGCTTTCTGAGTTAACGAGTTACAACTCATTCTTCGCCAACTCAATTCACTGAGTTACACAGGCCTACTCCCGAGTGTATCAATGCCAGAAGGAGTAAAACTGAACTAAACGCTGTTTCTGCTCCATTGCAGGTCAAACAGTGAGCAACTCATCGGGAGAACAAGTCACGTCTTTGAAGCTGACCAGAGCGAGTCCAGGTCGGGATCGTCACGCCATGAATGGAAGAAAATGGATGGTGACCGCCACCTGAGAAGAGCGTTGCGACTGCGGTTTGTCACGTTTGGTCAGCCGCGGTCACGCAATGGACGACATCTCCGGTTCCTCACTTATTGAGCTCAGTGAGTTCGCGACGGAATTTACGGATGTCGAAATGCACTCAGAGTCTGTGATGTAGATGGGGATTTGTTGTCGTTTTCTAGGCTTAATTGTTGCAATCAACCCAACTGGCTGAGCGGATCAGAAGCGACCTACTTCTGATCTTAACAGCTGTGTAGGCTGGAAACCTCGCTAACTTTGACGGTGAATATTTTCGCAGTCGGTGGTCCGATTTGGATAGTTTTTTCATTGTTTTTTTGGGGAAAAACATATTAAACATTTTCACTGGCAAAAGTTGGGAAAATTTCAGCTGTGCGTTAAATTTTCCGATCAGTTTACTATATTTTCGATAGTCACTAATGATTTTTGACCTAAAGTCAAGCTAGTTTTTAGAGTGTCGGCCCAGATACCACAAAATATTACATACATATTTAGGAAATATTTATATGTTTGCTAAATATTTCAGATCAAAAGCAAGTATTTCTTAAATATTTGTTTCTAATATTTAATTAGCATGAAACAAATAAGTTATTAATAATTTTCTTATTA